TTTAATAAAACTGTTTATTTAGTGATTGATTTTTGAATACCAATTCAAAAGTACAGGAAATACCAGAATATGAGCCTTAATTTGTGTCACTATTTTGCTGTTTGTATTGAATTTTGTAGTGATTTGTGAGATATGTTCAGAAAGTGTGTAGAAATTGATTGTCTGTTAAAAACTGTTTTTATGGATGAGTTTTGGTATGGATTTGTGTTTTTTCGTAGAAACCGTTTATTTTTGATTTAATTGTGATTTTTGTGTCTAATGTTTAGCGCGTGTTTCAAAACAATTACTTTTTTCTATGAGTTTCTTAGTTACTATGAAACCGACATATAAGTATGAGCTCTACCTAAACCAATATTAAATAGTTCCGTAGTTAAGAAATATTCCGTCATGCCGTAATCTAGGTAAAAATTGTTTAATTTTAAAACTTTATAAAATCAGTGTACTGTATAATTAAGTTTTATAATATCCATATTTAATTAGATTAAATGTACAAAGTTAATTTTTTGAAATTTTTGAAATAATAATAAATAACATAAAAATAAATTATTTCCTTAAGCTTTTAATTACAGTATTAATAAAATCATGAAAGGGGTCATTCAATAAAGTGCGTTTGGAAAATATATCAGGTCACCCACCCACACCCCTTACAAACGTATTTATTGAATAATAACTAAAAATAGGGAATGACTTTAATACTTACAGAGCCTACTGTACCTACAACTAAGTGAGAGAGCTCCTTTTATATAAAATTATTAAAAATTATTAATTTTTTATTAATTTTATACAAACATATTTACATGACCAATAACTAAATCAGTTAACAATTTACTAATTATAATTGTAATTACATATAAATAGCTCTCTCTCCCATTTAGGACCACCAAATTGGGAGAGAGAGCAATTAACATGTGATTAAAATTATAATTAGTAAATTGTTAAGTGATTTAGTTATAGTACGCTTAAATATGTTTGTATAAAATTAATTAAAAATTAATAATTTTTAATAATTTTATATAAAAGGAGCTCTCTCACTTAGTTTGTAGGTACTGTAGGTAATAAAGTCAATGGGCTAAAAATACTTACTTTCACGAAAACTAACTTGGTACTTGTCAATAATAGCTCGTGCGATATGTGCCGGGAAATATGCACCACCTGTCAACAATATTTTTAAACTAGACAGGTCATATTTATCACACAATTCTCCCTCAATTAGCTTATCCCCTATTGAGGGGAATATGATGAGAATGGTTACCCCATACCTCTCCACCGACCGGAACTGTAGGTCAACCGTGAACTCGCTATATATTACTTGTTTAATGCCGAGACAAAGTAAACTAGGTATCATTTGAGATCCACTAATGTGACCTAATGGATTAAGCACCGATACCACTTGAGGGCTGGCATTAAATTCTTCATGAAATGCGTGACCTAGCTCACTGTAGAATCTCAAAAAAAGATCTCGGAATCTTCAATATGACACATTTTGGGCTACCGGTGCTGCCGGATGTATGTATCAGCAGGAATGGGTCCACATTAGGGTCGACAGGAAAGTACGGTATAATCTTCAGATTCTGATCCCTACCCTCATCCACGAGATGTTCGTATGTCACGTGCTTTTCAGACACGTGTGTATCACGTGTTACGTCGAAGATAACCACAAGTTTTATAGTATTATTGTTTGACTGTAAGACACGTTTGAATTTTGGTAGGTTTTGCTGTTGAGTTAAGACTACTGTGGCCGACATGGAGGTGACCTCCTGTTCCATTTCGTAGGCCTCGAATGTGGGACTTAACGGACATATGGGTAGATCCAGGAATATCGCCACAAATCGCAGGACAACGAGTTGTATAGAGTTTTGTCCCGAATATACGAATCGATCGGTTTTGGTGACCCCTCTCTTAATTAGGGCCACAGCTATGCTATGGGACAGCCGATTTAAAGCACCGATAGTCAACTGATCATCAGTATTAGCATCTATCTATTTAAAAATAAATACATTAATTTAAATTAATATACAAGATTAATTTAAAAAATTCATTCCAAACAAATTGATTCAGGATCCAATTGATCAAATTTGTTGGACACGTATTCACCTACAGTGAGCTCCGGTATGTCGACCACCTGTATGTTTGAACGCAATATTCTCGGTTCAGATGACATAATTATAAAAATAACATATAGTTGTTGTACATTAAGTTAAAATATAAAAATATATTATTTTCTAGTCAAAATAAATCTAATATATTTTGTGACACGTTTTATATGTTGTGATTTCATATAATCTTGTTTTGAACTTAAATTTTTAAAAATAAATACGTAATATTGTTTTTGACTGTATATCAGATATTTGGTGCATTTTATGATCAAACTGGTCATTTATTTAGCACTACAAACGGTACACATAACTTAATCAATGCGTTTAATAGTACTGCACATTTGAGTTGTATTTTAATAACTTATTTTTTGTATATCAGATAAATGGGTGGAAAGTATCAGAAATCATTGAAATGAAAACACAGCATTAGAATTTTATAAATTTTTTTATTAATTTTAATTAATCGTATAAATATCTGTATTGTTTAAAATAATGTGTATAAATTATTTTTTTAACTTTTCATATGAATGATACGATATCATTTAAATTCATACTTTATAAGTTATTATTTTTGTATTAAATAAAAATATTTAAAAAATTAAAATAACTTTTTACAAAAATAATAGGTATAATATAAATAAAAATTGATCATTTCAATAATATATTATAATCAATACGTAAATGTTGTTTAAGATAACCGAATCATTTTTGTAAAAAGCTATTTTAAAAGCCCCCACCTCATATAAATCTAACATTAATTATAGTTAATTCTACCAGTTTAATTTTGTTGAATGAATTTTGCATCTGTGTATTAAGATTTAACACAAATTATGTGCATTTCTTGGAAATTTAAAACAACTTCTTGTATGGAGTGGTCGTCCAGTAATTGAGTCCAAGCGTTAGGGTTGAGTCGATGGGCGTCGGGACGGTTGATGAGGTCGTACGTCACGGCAGTTATGAACTCCAGTTTCGGACCACTTATGCCAAACATTTAACCAGAAAGTGACGTTAATATAGGACAAAAATCTACGTCAAAATCATTGTAAAAGTTAACTAAAATGGTTTCAAACATTTATATCAACAAATAATATGATGAGATGGCGTTCCCACACTATGTGGTTCAAGCATGAATCTCATGGAATTGTTCAAGGAAATATTTTCAAAGAATTATTATCATTTTAACGGGCCTCAAGGGATTTTATTAGTATAATGTTTTAAATTAAGAAAATTATTTTTTTTTGCTAAAATGAAGATTCTCAAGGAATTAAGTTTGTAGATTTGGGAATGCTAAAAATTTTATCGTATAAAAGGAAACTTATTAAAAAGATTTACAGTAATAAAATATAGTTAATATATATAATTTAAATGAAAATAATAAATATTTTATATAAATATAAATATATATTTATATAATATTTATATATAAATAAATGGAAATGCAAACCTATCAAATTTTGTCTCCCACACACCCACTTTGCATCCCTAATCACTAACAGCTTAGCCTCCAGTCCCAGTCCCTCACATATTGTCCGCCATATATTCATGTGTTGTTCCGTCGAGAATGTCTTTCCCCGTGTATTGTATTCAGTCATTTGGGTGTCCGTTAGAAATGCGTTCAAATGAGGCATAATTTGAAATCGCGCTACGATGAGACCACCTTGCTCAGTCAATAATCGGTGCATTACTGCCACCAGTTGGCTCTTATCGTCGATCCAATGGAGCGCATAGTTTGAGACAATGAGCGACACTCTGGCCTCCAGTGCCTTCAGTGGTGGACACAACTCATCCCACGAGACACTCATGTCTTGCGTCCAGTACTCAATTGAATCCATTTTGTGATTCTTCAGCGCATATGATATCATTGTGGGGT